GATCAGACGGCCTATCAGTGGCTATAGAGGGTTCACGACTCTCAAAGCCCTAAAGCCTAAACCCCGAACCCTGAACCCTGGACCCCAAACCCGACAGAAACCCAAAGAAACCTTGAACCTTCCAGCCCTCCAAGCCCTAAACCCTGCAAGCCCTGAAATAAGAGCCTTACATCCCCAAGTTTAGGGGTTTAAGGGTTTAGGGTTTTAGGGGTGTAGGGTTCAGGGTTTAGGGTTTAGGGTTTAGGGTTTAAGGTTTAGGGTTTAGGGTTTAGGGTTTAGGGTTTAGGGTTTAGGGTTTAGGGTTTAGGGTTTAGGGTTTAGGGTTTAGGGTTTAGGGTTTAGGGTTTAGGGTTTAGGGTCCGCCGACCCTGGCGGCGTGTTGGATGGGTTTGAGGAGGTGAAAACCTCCCTCTTTCCTCCTTACCCCCCCAAAACGCGGGGGGGGAGGGGGGGTCGGTGCACAATTTTTTCGTGGAGGACCGCGCCACCCGCACAGCGTAAACAGGCGGTTCAGCACAGGGGGGTAGGGGCGCCCTCAGCAAAATCAGCGTTTTTCGGCACCCCCCCACCCCCCCCACCACCCCCCCTCCCCCCCTACCCCCCCCCAGCCCCCCCGACCCCCTGTCTTTTTGGCTTGGGCTTGTCCTGGTGCTACCCCCTATCCCCCCCCCCCCCAAACGTTTCACAGAACTCTGCCGAGCAGGCTGGGATGATCTTCGAACCATGCGAGCGGGTTTAGACCTCTCAACTATGCTCCAGCGGGGTCGGCGGCTTGAGCCGGAGGCTCTTTAACTCCGGCCCCCGCGCCGCCCGTGGTCCAGGGCGGAGCCCGCGTCGCACTAAAGCGCTAGCTTTAAGGGGCGAGCGCCCGAGCCGCCGACCCCGCCCAAAATTGCTTCAAATTCGCGCGGGGCCCTTCGGGAGGCCTCCAAAACGGCATCCAAGGGGACGCAACACGCGGTGGTGCGAAAAGCACGAAAACCTCGTAAAAACCATGGTTTTTTACGAAAAACCGAGGCCACAAAACACCCGCAGCACCCCATTAAACCCTCACGGGCGCGCATCATCGGCCCTAGCTTTTCACATGGGGCGCGCGCCAGGCCGAAACCACGTTTTTCAAGGTTTGGGGGGGGGTACCGGAAGCCCAAAACCAGGCGAGCATCATGAGCATCAGCAGCCCTGGCCCGCGGGCCCAAGGCAATAAAAAACGCTGAAAAACGCTGAAATCACCGTAAATACCGTGTTTTTATGAGGTTTTTCACGCGTGCCTCCGACCCCCACCCCTGTTGCCCTTGACCCGCCCCCAAAGTGCGCATCATCGAAACCCACGTCCGGGGGGGGGTCTGCTGATGCTGCTGATGCGCGGGGTCCGGGCGCATCATCGAGCCATCGCTTCTCTTGGGCTTCGTGGGGGGGTCCGGGCCCACGGCCCAGAGACCCAGCTGATGCTCATGATGCTCGGTTTGGGGGGGTGTTCCAACAGCAGAAAACCTCGTAAATACCGAGTGTTTTGTGGGTCCACGTAAAAACGCCCCTAAAATCGCTCATTTTACGCGCTCGAACGGCTTCGTGCCTACAAAACACCCGAACAGCAGGACCCCGAATGCCCTTAAGGGCATTCGGGGTCTTGCTTTTGGGGGTTTCGTGGGCACGCAAGCGTTCAAGCACATACAATCGGCGTGTTTAAGGGGGTTTTGGATGGCCTGGGGGAGGCCGCTGATGCTCATGATGCTCCCTTTCCTGGGTCCCAAAAGGCTTCCCAAGCCCAAAAACACGTGTTTACAGCGTTTTCTGAAGGTTTTTCGAAGGCAAAACGCATGCATAGAATGCTTTTAAGGCCCCCAAACCAACCCCACTGATGCTCCTGATGCGGCGTGCGCGCGCGCGCGCGCGCGGGGGGGGGGAGGGAGGGGGGGCGAAGGCAGGAGAAAGAGAGACAGAGAGAAGGAGAGGACAAAGACACGGGAAAGAGAAGACAGTGCCAAGGTTCAAGGTTTCGTGCTTTGGGGGGCGGGGGCCGGCCCGTGCCGCTAGGCCTGAAATTTAGGGTTTGAGGTTCAGGGTAAGCCTGAAACCCCTGGCAGTTTCCTTGGAGACCTCTCTGCGAACCTACCGATCTCAAAAGACAACGTGACCGTGCCTCCCTAAAACCCTAAGACCCGAAACCCCAAAACCCCAAGGAGCTGGTTTTCCATTCGGCCGCGGAAATCTTCAGCCCCCGAACGCCTGAATCTTAAACCTCTAGTCTTTAAGTCCAGACCGACCGCTGAAGCTTTCTGGGTGATCTTTTTGGGTCCCCTATTTTCGTAAACCCTCCAGTTTCGTTTCATCCTGACGCTCACTCCAGCCCTCAGCTTCTGCACTTAAACCCTAAACCCTAAACCCTAAACCCTAAACCCTAAACCCTAAACCCTAAACCCTAAACCCTAAACCCTAAACCCTAAACCCTAAACCCTAAACCCTAAACCCTAAACCCTAAACCCTAAACCCTAAACCCTCTCTTACTATGTATATTTAAACCCTAATGACCTTCGTCGGCATGTTGTTTTTTTTTCTGGGCCCTAGGGTTTAGGGCCCAGAGTTTTTTTTCAAGGTTTTTCAGAGTTTTTCAGTGTTTTTCAAGGTTTCTCAAGGTTTTTCAGGGTGTTTCAGGGTTTTTAACCCTCAAGAGGGTTTAGGGCTGTAGGGTTTGGGGCATAGGGTTTGGGGCATAGGGTTTAGGGCCCAGAGTTTTTTTTCAAGGTTTTTCAGAGTTTTTCAGGGTTTTTCAAGGTTTTTCAATGTTTTTCAGTGTGTTTCAGGGTTTTTAACCCTCAATTCTGATGAAGGGCCGCCCCCGCGACCTTTTCACAGCCTAGTTTTGGTCAAGGGGGGGTCGTATTTTTCAATTTTAAAGGCAAAATAGTCTTCGGAGACCCCCCTTGCCTCAAACTCCGACCCCCCCTTGAGAGGGAAAGTTTGCCTCCAAAAACACCCCAAATGAGGGGGACCCCAGGATCGGCCCGGGCCACAGTTAAAAATGCGATTCTTTAGTACTGAAATCGACGGTTCTGGGCGGCCTCTCATTTTCTGGATTTTTTGACCAAACCGAGCCTTTACCGGTTTCAGCATTTCAAGTTTTTCTAGGTTTTTCGAAGTTTTTCAAGGTTTTTCAGAATTTTTCAGAATTTTTCAATGTTTTTCTAGGTTTTTTAATGTTTTTCAGGGTGCTTCAGGATTTGTTTTCAGGTTTAGGGCTGTAGGGTTTGGGGCATAGGGTTTAGGGCTGTAGGGTTTGCGGCATAGGGTTTAGGGCTGTAGGGTTTGGGGGGCATAGTGTTTAGAGCTGTAGGGTTTGGGGCATAGGGTTTAGGGCTGTAGGGTTTGGGGCATAGGGTTTAGAGCTGTAGGGTTTGGGGCATGGGGCATAGGGTTTAGGGTTGTGTGGTTTGGGGCATAGGGTTTAGGGCATAGGGTTTAGGGCCCAGAGTTTTTTTTCAAGGTTTTTCAGAGTTTTTCAGTGTTTTTCAAGGTTTCTCAAGGTTTTTCAGGGTGTTTCAGGGTTTTTAACCCTCAAGAGGGTTTAGGGCTGTAGCGTTTGGGGCATAGGGTTTAGGGCACAGAGTTTTTTTTCAAGGTTTTTTAGAGTTTTTCAGGGTTTTTCAAGGTTTTTCAATGTTTTTCAGGGTGTTTCAGGGTTTTTAACCCTCAATTCTGATGAAGGGCCGCCCCGCGACCTTTTCACAGCCTAGTTTTGGTCAAGGGGGGGTCGTATTTTTCAATTTTAAAGGCAAAATAGTCTTCGGAGACCCCCCTTGCCTCAAACTCCGACCCCCCCTTGAGAGGGAAAGTTTGCTTCCAAAAACACCCCAAATGAGGGGGACCCCAGGATCGGCCCGGGCCACAGTTAAAAAATGCGATTTTTTTGTACTGAAATCGACGGTTCTGGGCGGCCTCTCATTTTCTGGATTTTTTGACCAAACCGAGCCACCGGTTTCAGCATTTCAAGTTTTTTACGGTTTTCGAAGTTTTTCAAGGTTTTTCAGAGTTTTTCAGAATTTTTCAATGTTTTTCTAGGTTTTTTAATGTTTTTCAGGGTGCTTCAGGATTTGTTTTCAGGTTTAGGGCTGTAGGGTTTGGGGCATAGGGTTTAGGGCTGTAGGGTTTGGGGCATAGGGTTTAGGGCTGTAGGTTTTGGGGCATAGTGTGAGCTGTAGGGTTTGGGGCATAGGGTTTTTAACCCTCAAGAGGGTTTAGGGCTGTAGGGTTTGGGGCATAGGGTTTGGGGCATAGGGTTTAGGGCCCAGAGTTTTTTTTCAAGGTTTTTCAGAGTTTTTCAGTGTTTTTCAAGGTTTTTCAATGTTTTTCAGTGTGTTTCAGGGCTTTTAACCCTCAATTCTGATGAAGGGCCGCCCCCACGACCTTTTCACAGCCTAGTTTTGGTCAAGGGGGGGTCGTATTTTTCAATTTTAAAGGCAAAATAGTCTTCGGAGACCCCCCTTGCCTCAAACTCCGACCCCCCCTTGAGAGGGAAAGTTTGCCTCCAAAAACACCCCAAATGAGGGGGACCCCAGGATCGGCCCGGTCCCAGTTAAAAATGCGATTCTTTAGTACTGAAATCGACGGTTCTGGGTGGGCTCTCATTTTCTGGATTTTTGATTAAAACCGAGCCTTCACCGCTTTCAGGATTTCAAGGTTTTTCAGACGTTGCCCCTTGAGAGGGAAAGTTTGCCTCCAAAACCACCCCAAATGAGGGGCCACCCCCCCACCCCACCCTCCCCGGTTTGAGAATTAGATTTTGGGTTTTCGGCCAATTGGACCTTGAGCGTTAAGCCTACTGGGAATGTATTGAGTGGACTTTGTATTTTCTCAATGTTATGGGTTTCTTGGGTGGGTGGGGTTTTATTCCAGCCCTTGACAAGCTGCTTGACTAGTGAATGCTCGGACTTGAGATGCTGAACCCTAAACCCTAAACCCTAAACCCTAAACCCTAACCCCCCCCCCCCCTAAAAAAGCAAGGCCTGCTTTGGGGCTGGCGAGGCGCTCTGCATGGCAGCCGCCAGCGTGATCTGTTGGGGTTTGGGGTTGGGTGTTTGGTGTTTGGGGTTTGGGGTTTGGGGTTTGGGGCTGGGGTTTGGGGGTGGGGGTTGGGGGTGGGGGGTTGGGGTGGTTGGGGTTGGGGTTTGGGGGTTGGGGGTTTGGGTTTGGGGGTTGGGGGTTTGGGGGTTTGGGGTGGGGTTTGGGGGTTGGGGGGTTTGGGGTTTGGGGGTTTGGGGGTTTGGGGGGTTGGGGGTTTGGGGGGGGGTTTGGGGGTTTGGGGGTTTGGGGGTTTGGGGGTTTGGGGGTTTGGGGGTTTGGGGGTTTGGGGGTTTGGGGGTTTGGGGTTTGGGGTTTGGGTGTCGTCGCGCGTTGGCAGTTCTCTGAATGGGCGGGGTAAGGGTTAAGGGCTTAAGTATGTTCAATTTCTACGACTTACACCCACATCCTACTTCTTTGTAGGCTACCCAAGAATCCTGTAAGGGGTGTGATCGCGATAAACTACAACATGCAGGGTCCTGGCGGAGTTTCCTTTGGAGGGGGGTTCAGGTTGCAGGTTTATCGTAACCCCGGAAGGGACAACAACTTGGAAACCGGGACCCACATCCAGGTTGTCCAATGACAAGGGGTGCCCCTTTTGTTCAATGGGGGTTTGTAAGGGGGCTCCCCAGGGCTGAGTGAGGGTTCAAGGGCTCGCACCCTAAACCCTAAACCCTAAACCCTAAACCCTAAACCCGCGCAGATCGAGCGTCAGTTTGGGGGGCAGCGTGAGCCGGGCAGGACCCTGGTGGGAAGCGGAAAGCTGCCGTTGGAGGCGGTCATCCACGATGAGGTTTAGGGTTTAGGGTTTAGGGTTTAGGGTTTAGGGTTTAGGGTTTAGGGTTTAGGGTTTAGGGTTTAGGGTTTAGGGTTTAGGGTTTAGGGTTTAGGGTTTAGGGTTTAGGGTTTAGGGCTCTCACCGGCTGCTGAAACATTCATCAACCCACGATCTTCACACTTCTGACTATCATCACCAAAGGCCAAAGCCTCAAACCCCAAACCCTAAACCTTTACCCCTAAAAAACACAATCCCTCAAAACCCTGCACCTGTGCGAATCCTACAAATAGCCCTGAAGCCCCTACACCCTGCATCACCCTGCTAACCCCTAACCCTCCCTGAAACCCTACCCAAACAGCCCAATACCCCTTAATTAAGGAATATTCCTTAAATCATAATAATCATCGTTTTATAATAAGCTATATTCCTTAATCACAGGGTATTGGGTCTCTGGGTATACCCCTAACGATTGGCCTTCGGTGCCGACTCCCGGCGTGACATGCGCCGTGCCGTAGGGATGGGCTCCGCCGGCACCTTGCAATGTCGGTCTTCTGAGGGAGCAGGTGTTTAGGGCCTTCGGGTGATCCTAAACCCTAAACCCTAAACCCTAAACCCTAAGCCCTAAGCCCTAAGCCCTAAACCCTAAACCCTAAACCCTAAACCGGGTTGAAGGGCCCAGGGCTGGATCCAGGGGTTGAGGGTATGGGCCGCGAGCTTGATGATCAACCTAGAAGGGAAGTTCAGGCCTTGGGTTTACTGGGCATCATGTGCTCCGAAGGGGTTTAGGGCAGTCATTGCTAAGCGTGGTCCCGTATAACCCTAAAACCCTATAACCCTATAACCCTAAAACCCTATAACCCTATAACCCTATAACCCTATAACCCTGCTTTTTGGCTACCCATGAACCTTCAAGCCGACCGGTGGAGGGACAGCTGAGGAGGCTGGACAAAATCAAACGTCTGGAGGGCCGAAGGGAATGGGGCCCTAAGACCCTAAATTCCCAAACCCTAAACCCTAAACCCTAAACCCTAAACCCTAAAACCCTCAGTTGGGGAGGGCAGGAGGGCCGGAGAATCAAACGGTGTCGAACTCTGCTAGTAGTTAAATCATACGCTTTTGCCTAACAAGAAACTCAACCGGCCGCAGGCGTCGCATCACCACATCATTCTACAAAGATTCTTAAGGGGAAAGTATTGGAATTTTACCAGACTCCTGCACTGGAGGTCATGCCTCCTCGTGAAGCCGCCGCTTCTTCCTGCGCCACCTCGGCTCGGCACATTGAGGAACTTGGGGCTTTACGTAAAGGAACTTCCAGAGAACACTGAGAGCCTCTGAGCCAGAAACCTGACCCCCTAAGCCCTAAACCCTACGCCCGAAATCCGAACCCAAAACTTGTGACGTGGCTTGTTAGCTACTTCTATGAACTCCTGGAAATGATTTATTTCCGAAAACAATGCGACTAAAATGTAATCCAAAAAGCGAAAAAAAGCCAACTATTCAAAATATGCAAAAACAATGACAAAAAAAGACCTTCAAAAAACAACAAGAAATGACTCTAAAAAAGCAAGAAAACATGTTTGCCTTTGTTTTGCGTTGTTTGTGGCTGCTGGGGTCGCTTTTTGGGTCGCATTTTATTCGCTTTTTCCGTTTTTTTCCTAGGAAACAAGCGAAAATAAAGCGAAAATAATGCGACCCAAAAAGCGACGTGTTGCTTTTTTCGCCGCATTATCGCTTTTTGGTCGCTTTTTGGGTCGCTTTATTTTCGCTTTATTTTCGCTTTTCTCCTAGAAAAAAGCGAAAAAAAACGAATAAAAGCAACCCAAAAAGCGATAATGCGGCCAAAAAGGCAAAACAAAAGAGAAACAATTGAATCCCCTTTTCTGAACCCATTTTTTTCGCTTTTTTTTCCTCCGTTTTCGGCTAGCCACCTTTTGTGAACCCATCCTTTTCGTTTTTTCGGTGTCACTTTTTTCGCATTCTATGAAAAATCGATTCGGTTTCTTTTCGGAAAATAAATCATGTAGCAAAAACCTTAGAAGTAGCTCTAAGCGGCATCACAACCCTAAACCCAGGTGGGCTAGCAAAAGCAATCCCGTCATAAACGCAACTCCCTGAATGCAAACCTCACTGTTGTTTAGTCCTTCTGGCTTTACAAGGCAAAACCACACATCCCGGATAGCACAACTATGATGCCCCATGGTCGTACATCTTTAGTACTGGACATGTTTCCACATGCCCGTGCTCGATGTGAATCGAAATCGAGCTCCAAGCGTGACATGGGTTTGGGGGTCGCGATCTTCATTGATGAAACCACAGATTTTCAGAGCTATAATACACGCCCTAATCCTCCAAGCCCAGAACTCTGTAAAATGTTACCCAACTATGACAAAGTTATGAAGAAGCCCTAAACCCTAAACCCTAAACCCTAAACCCTAAACCCCAAACCCCAAACCCTAAACCCTAAACCCTAAACCCTAAACCAAAACCAAACCTCTGCCTGGGGCGTTGGCTGTACGGGCCGGGCCCGCTCCACGATCTGACGCGTGAGAGAGCGCTCGTAGAGGGACTTCACGGCGGCCTAAGGCTCTTGGAGGGTTTAGGGTTTAGGGCTACTAGTGTAGGTTTAGTAGGGTTAGTAGGGTTAGTAGGGTTAGTAGGGTTTGCAGGGTTTGTAGGGTTAGTAGGGTTTAGGGTTTGGGGTTAGTAGGGTTTGTAGGGTTTGTAGGGTTAGTAGGGTGTGCAGGGTGTGTAGGGTTTAGGGTTTGGGGTTTAGGGTTAGTAGGGTTAGTAGGGCTTAGGGTTTGCAGGGTGTGTAGGGTTTAGGGTGTGTAGGGCATGTAGGGCATGTAGGGCATGTAGGGCGTGTAGGGTGTGTAGGGTGTGTAGGGTGTGTAGGGTGGGTTGGGTTGTAGGGTTGTAGGGTGTGTAGGGCTCATGATCTTTAAGACCTTGAGATTTGGGATTCAGGGCGTAACGGATTCTAGATTTTGCTTTTCAAGGTTGTTGGACCTTGGACTTTGGGATTGGGAATCATCAAAGATCAAGGGTCCTTACGCGAATCCAAATCGTATCGTTACCCTGCGTTATGCCAATTACGTACAGACTATTGGGTCTCTTTGCGTTGGTCAGTGATTCGTCCGTGAGTGGCTGCTCAACAAAGACATTCCTCACTTCGTATGGGAAGAAAAAGCACACGTACTTAACTGGGTTGGCCTTGAAACCCTGGTCCCTTATAAACCCACATAAGGAAAATAACAAAAATGTTCCAAAAACCAACCGAGTTCACCAAACTGAGGAAAGGAGACATGCTACGACCCAAACCTAGTACGAGTATTGCGAGATTTAAGTGAAAAGAAAACCTAGGGTTTAGGGTTTAGGGTTTAGGGTTTAGGGTTTAGGGTTTAGGGTTTAGGGTTTAGGGTTTAGGGTTTAGGGTTTAGGGGTTAGGGTTTAGGGTTTAGGGTTCAGGGTTTAGGGAATACTATCATCTAACGATAATGAGTACATTCGATGATAAGATGGTTGCTGAGGTTCCTGCCGGCAGGGATTTGCAAATCAAGATACATGTACTGCAAAGCATGTAAGCAAATGAAACATACAAATGAAGGGTTGTAAGTGTGAAATTGAAGAAGGTATACCAGAAAGCGTGTCGGGCTTGTCTGGACACAGGCAAGAAATATAGCCTTAAAGGGAAGGAATCAATTCAGGGAGTTTTTTTTGAAACACATTTAAAGGGATGAAGTCTCAATACATGAAAGTGGAAATGACTGACAGTGGTACCAGAACCGAATACCATAACATTGAGAAAGAAATTGAAATGTAAGACTGGTTAGTGAAGTCATTATCAAATGAGTTCGTGAGGGTGTAAATGAGAATATGTTTCCTAATCGGATGTTCTAATTGCGCTGATAGAGTGAAACATTGAAAACATGACGTTGTTATGCTTACATATGGTCCAGTGTGTCAAAATGAGAATCCTACACATAGATGGATAATATTACACATTATATTGAGAGGGTATAATACTAACTCCTGTGTTGTAACCATTTCTGGCAATGTGTACCTAGATGACGTTCAAATGTACCCACACAATGTTTTTGCTAAAGGCGCTGCGTATTCCGACAAAAGACGTCTATAGCCTTCATGTTCATGAAAAGTTTCGAGACTTGAAAGACTTACTACTGGAGACATACAATGTTGAATATGACCATCATGCCATTGAACTAAACTACTGCTTCTATCAGTTTTACGAATACTTTCAAAAAGAAAAGTGTTTTCTGATCTGTATTAACGGAGTGGCTGAAGTTCATTAACGCAAAGAAAACGATTTCTTTGTCTGGTCCCTGGCCTTCATGGGTCCCTACACCTCACTACCCTGAAACCTAAAGTGTTTAGGCGTTTGGGGTTTTGTGGGGTTTCGTGGGGTTTCGTGGGGTTTTGTGGAGTTTTGTGGGGTTTTGCGGGGTTTTGGGGTTTTGGGGTTTTATGGAGGGGTGCCCGCCCCCAACATGTCCTGCCTTCCGCAGGTGTTTCGTCCTTTGGCGCCAGAAGAGGGTGCTGGCACGCCCTCGGACCGAACTTTACGGCGGCTGAAGAGGTTGGGGGCCCCCACAGGGCTTGGGTATAGGGTACAGGGTATAGGGTGTGGGGTGTAGGGTATAGGGTATAGGGTATAGGGTATAGGGTATAAGGTATAGGGTATAGGGTCTAGGGTAGAGGGTAGAGGCTATAGGGTTTAGGGTTTAGGGTTTAGGGTGTAGGGTTTAGGGTTTAGGGTTTAGGGTTTAGGGTTTAGGGTTTAGGGTTTAGGGTTTAGGGTTTAGGGTTTAGGGTTTAGGGTTTAGGGCTCAAAGTTTCGGGTGTTGGCCAGAGTGCTGTCGGGGCTCATGGTTGGACCTGGCTGCTGGAGTGATCCCCTCCCAAGCCCTAAACCCTAAACCCTAAACCCTAAACCCTAAACCCTAAACCCTAAACCCTAAACCCTAAACCCTAAACCCTAACCTTATCATAGGAACCCCAAACCTTTCTCTTTTCCATAGAAACCGATGACCTTCATCGGAAACTCATAGGTTGCAACAGGGTATCTTTGGTGCTCCTAACCTTCATGCCCTAAACTCGAACCAACCCTAAATCCTATGCCGAAAGCCGCCCGCAGCCACACCGCAGCCACGGGGGGCTACCTAGATCGTGACTCCAAAGCCCTACAGCCTAAACCCCAACACCTTAAGACTTAAACTTCCAAACCTTAAGCTTCAAGAAGCGCACTGAAACCCCTATAACCCTAGAACCCTAAGCCCCAAACCCTAAAAACCCTAAAACCAGCCCACAACCCTGCATGTCGCGTCAGGTGCGGCTTCGGTCGGCGTTCTTTCTTGGGGCGTCGGCTTTGGGAGGTATGGGCTCAGAGGTTAGCGTTTAGGGTTTAGGGTTTAGGGTTTAGGGTTTAGGGTTTAGGGTTTTTTGAGGTTTGGGGGGGCAACCCTGCACCCGGAGCCAGCTCCCCCACACCCGCTTACCCCCAAACAGGCTTCAGCTACCCAAACCCTAAAGCCTAAACCCTAAACCCTAAACACTAAGCCCTAAACCCCAAACCCTAAGCCCTAAACCCTAAACCCCAAACCCTAAACACTGAACCCTAAACCCGGAACCCTTGGAGGGCGTTGTCGCAGAACAGGTTGGATCTGTCCAAATAGGACCTATGGAGACATGAAGCCTCTATGAGAGGCATATGCGTGTAGTAAGATTTACTTTATGGATTTACGGTGAGGGAATATGGGTACGGGGGAAGCTACCAAGCAACAAGAGATGACAACTCCTCGGAGTCTCTTCCGCCCCATCTACATCAACCCCCCCCCCAACAAAGCCTTTATCTGGGCCTTGTAGTAAGGTAAACGCTAAACCCTAAACCCTAAACCTTAAACCCTAGACCCTAAACCCTAAACCCTAAACCCTCAACCCTAAACCCTAATTGGGGTTTAGGATCTCATAATTGAAAAGCCACGCCGACTTCCCCCCCGTGGCCCAGGCGGAAGTCGTACTTGCGGCCAACTTCCTGCGCGTGGCCGCGACCAAGGTCTGGGGGTTTAGGGTTTAGGGTTTAGGGTTTAGGGTTTCGGGTTTCGGGTTTCGGGTTTAGGGGTCGATATTGACAGGGCTTCATGAGGGTTTCAAGGTTTCAGGGCTTTGGGGTTTTCCGGGTTTTGAGGCTTTATCCGGGGTTTTCTCGAAGTACCAAACACCGGGTTCACTGGATGTTGACTTAGCCCTTACACTTCAACCAACAAAAAACGCAAACCCGAAGCCCTGAAGCCTCTAGAAGCCCAACATGGCCTTGAAACCCAAAACCAGTGGAATCCCCCAAAAGCCACGCCAAGCCCGAACCCCTGAAACACAACAACTCTTTTGGGGCCTAGCTAGGGCTGGTCCCTAAACCCTAAACCCTAAGCCCTAAACCCTAAACCCTCAACTCTCCCTTTCAAGGCCAGTCCTGTGCATCCTTCTTCTTGCCACCCCTCATCCTCTCCTGACCCAGCCAGGGGCAACCCATTTTCGCGTCGGGGGGATGGGGGGGGGGGGGAGGAGCTTTGGGGTCCGATACTGCCCCTACAACTCACACGCCAAAGCCCTTTTGCAAAAACCCTGAAACCCCAACCCCCTAAACTGCCCAGCTGCCCCTCCCTCCCTCCCTCCCTCCCTCCGCAGAGGGTACCGTCCCCAAGCTCCCTACTGCTTGAAGTCTCAGCTTCTTGGGAAGGGGGGGGGGGGGAAACAGGGCCAAGCATGGTAGCATTGTGGGATGTGGGTTGCATGCCATTCTAAACCCTAAAACACCCTAAACCCCGAAAACCCCAAGACACCTAAACACCTTCCCTCGCCTTCGATCTGGCTCGCATCATCCCGAACCTCGGGGCCGAACCATAGGAGCCGCTTCGGTTTAGGGTTCAGGGTTCAGGGTTCAGGGTTCAGGGTTCAGGGTTCCGGGTTCCGGGTTCCGGGTTCCGGGTTCCGGGTTCAGGGTTTAGGGTTTAGTAGGGTTTAGGGTTTAGGGTTTAGGAGGTTTTTAGGGGTTTTCGGGGTCGTCCGTGTCTTGTTTCGCTTTTTGTCGGTTTGGGCTTTCGGGTTTGGGAGGGAGTTGGCAGTCTACTGAGGTTTAAATTCCGGGGCCACACGTTTTTGACGGTATTTCTCGAGCCACCTTACAAGATCTCACTCTAAGCGCTCCCTGGGCTCGTAGCCATACACCCTCAACCCTAAACTACTAGTTGCATAAGAGCACCCAACAAAAAACAAAACATAATCTTCTACTGTTTAGTTCCTGCCGGGGGGTGGGGTCCTTAAGCACATGGTAGGAAACCCAAGCAAAACCTGTCTAATGTAGGGGCCTTCATCATTCGAATAGGTTTTTTTTTCATTTTTTTTGGGGGGGGGGTGTCATTATAGTATAACTATAAACGGGACCAGCAGGGAATACTACAAACCTAAACCCTAAACCCTAAACCCTAAACCATAGGCCGCCCGCGCCAGGCGGCGGCCGGTACAACTGAACGCTACCGCTTCGAGATCTGCTTGCTTTGCCAAGCAGATCGAGCTTGCCACACCTGATGCATCCCTGCTAGCCATAGGGCACAATGTAATCATGGATTAACCCTAAACCCCCGACGCGCGACCCCGGCGGGGGAGGTCGGGCCTAAGAAGCCGTTGCGCCCCTGCCAGGCTTGCCCCCGCCAGGGTTGCCCCCGCCAGAATAGGGTTGCCCCCGCCAGGTTGTTTCCTGTCAGCCCGTGAGGGTTGCCCCCGCCCCGCCAGGGTTGCCCCCCACCAGGGTTGCCCCCGCCAGGGTTGTGTTAGGGTTGCCCCCGCCAGGGTTAGGGCTGCCCCCGCCAGGGTTGCCCCCACCAGGGTTGCTTGCCCGCAGGGTTGCCCCCGCCAGGGTTGCTTGCCCCCACCAGGGTTGCTCTGCCAGGGTTGCTTGCCCCCCCGCCAGGGTTGCCCCCGTTGCCCCCGCCAGGGTCACCCCCGCCAGGGTTGCCCCCGCCAGGGTTGCCCCCGCCAGGGTTGCCTCCACCAGGGTTGCCCCGCCAGGGTGGCCCGTTGCCCCCGCCAGGGTTGCTTCCGCGAGGGTTGCCCCCGCAGTGTTGCCCCTTGCCCCCGCCAGGGTTGCCGCCTGCCACTGCAGGGTTGCCCCCGCAGGGTTGCCCCCGCCAGGGTTGCCCCCGCCAGGGTTGCCCCCGCCAGGGTTGCCCCCGCCAGGGTTGCCCCCGCCAGGGTTGCCCCCGCCAGGGTTGCCCCGAGGTTTGCCCCCGCCATTTTTCATATTTTTAAGCTACATTTTCTATCTTCTAATATTCCTTAAGGAATCCCACTAATAATAAAATAGCATTTTTCCTTTCATTATTAGTAAAGGATTCTATGGAAAGATATTAATTCTCTATCTATATCTTCTTCAAATTCATTTCGGCTTCTCTTCTTTCTCACATCCAGATAATGCATTAGAAGCATGTGGATTACTTACTCCTTTACATATCGTACCTGAATGGTATTTCTTATGCCAATATGCTATGTTAAAAGCTGTACCAAATAAAAATGCAGGATTCATTCTCTTATTTACTTCTATCTTCATCCTATTTTACTTTATGACAAGTCTTTCAATGTCATTCTATTTTTAAATTAAGACGTCCAGTAGATTTAATGGTTTCTATCGCAACCCCGCCGGGTTGCCCAGTTTTACCCTGCCAGGGTTGCCCCCACCAGGGCTGGCCCCCACCAGCGTTGCCCCCGCCAGGGTTGCCGCCGAGTTAGGGTTGCCCTTGGCAGGGTTCCGCCAGGGTTGACCCCGCCAGGGTGACATTGCCCTCGCCAGGTTGCCCTGTCAGGGTTCCACGTCCTCACGTCGCCTACTCAGGAATTGTGCACCTTCTCTGCGACGGCCTCGTCCTCCTCGCGCGCTGGCGAGGCTTCGTCGTCCTTCTCTATGAAGTGTTGTTTTGTTGCCGAGCAGGGCTTCTTGTGCCATATGGGCCCCAGATGGGGGAAGGGCCCTTGCCCGTGCCGGGGGTGCCCCCCGCCAGCGGGGTTGCCCCCGCCAGGGCTGCCCTTGCGTTGCCCTTGCCCCGCCAGGGTCGCCGCCCGCCAGGGTTGCCCCCCGCCGGCCCTTGCGCGACCCCGGTCGGTGGGGAGGCCGAGCCCAAGACGCGCGACCCCAGCATAGGAGGTCCTGTCAACAAAGACCAAGCTGGGCCAGAGAAGCCCTTGCGCCAGCGGGTGGCCGGGCCTTCCGCGCTTGGCCCTCGCCATTCTGCCATATGAATGAGCTTGGGTCCGGAATTGGGCTTGAGGGTGTCTTGAACACAGTATGGGTGAAACAGATTGTCCCGCTCTGTGTTGATCCAGGAAAGTGTATAGGCTCAAGCAACAGCAGCAGTCAACACGTCCCACCCCGGCCAGCGGGGAGACTCGAGGTGTGGAGGGTAGACCGCTCTAAACCCGAAAAAGGCGGTAGTTTGGGTGGCTGGGGTGGGATCCGCTGCACCGAGGTGGCCCGACCCGCCCCTGGCGCGGGTCGGGACCGCGGCACTTTGGAACACCCTAAACCCTAAACCCTAAACCTCAACCCTAAACAACCCGAAATACTCCGACCCCTTTTTTGCAAGCCAAGGTGGCAGGTGCTGCAGGTGCTGCTCCTGCTGCGTGGTGGGCGAGTCCGGCGGTGAATCCAAGCCCTCGGCCGACTTTGAAACAGGGGTTTAGGGTTTAGGGTTTAGGGTTTAGGGTTTAGGGTTTGGGGTTTAGGGTTTAGGGTTTAGGGTTTAGGGTTTAGGGTTTAGGATTTCGATGGCTGCCTTTTTGGTGTGAATGTATATAGGTTTCCTTGTAAATATCGGTGAATATATATATATATATATACATATATATATATACACACGGTGTAGAGGTATATTGGGTGAATGGGGGCCTTTAACCTCATTCCCTCATTTCCGACGAAGAACCATCCATGCAAAAAGATTCCTCTGCAATATGGCAGCTCTTCTTGAACGTGTCGTGGCATGGGATCGTTCCAGGTACTCCTCTGCCACGTTGCGCAGCACAGCATGTATGGATTCCATGCTCAGCACCATTTCAGAGACAGAGAGAGAGAGAGAGAGAGAGAGAGAGAGAGAGAGATAGAGAGAGAGAGAGAGAGAGATTGAGTCTTTCGGTGTCCCCTAAACCCAAACCCGAAACCGCAAAACCCTATCTTCCTGAATTAAGGGGGTGGGGTGGGTGGGGGGGGGGGGGGTATCACGGGCTTCGAACCAAGGCGCGGTGAACTGGATTCGGCCGCCCTCCAGCTTCACGAAGCCGCTGGTGGGGCTGGGGCTGCGACCTCCATTTCGAAGGTTTAGGGTTTAGGGTTTAGGGTTTAGGGTTGAGGGTTTAGGGTTTAGGGTTTCGGGATGTGCCCCCTTCTACTAACAGCTCCTTAATGGGCATAATCATAGGGGGATACGAGAATCCCTAGTAAGGACCGTTAGTAGAAGGGTGATCATCCCAAGGTGTAGAGTATAGGTTTAGGGCTTGGGGCTGAGGGTTCAGGGTTTAGGGCTTGAGGAGGGGGGGGGGGGCATTGCCAGGACCCCGCTTTATTTGAGGAAGATGCCTGAGAAGATACATGCTATTTATGGGGAGCTCGATATGGATTGAGGTACATGGTTTCAAAGCTTGGGCCACGCACCCTCCTACTTGAACAGCACCTCACCTCCCCACCTCCTCCGCTTAGCCCCCCTAGACCTTACTACTAAAACTCCTCCCCTCAACCCTAAACCCTAAACCCTAAACCCTAAACCCTAAACCCTAAACCCTAAACCCTAAACCCTAAACCCTAAACCCTAAACCCTAAACCCTAAACCCTAGACCCTAGACCCTAGACCCTAGACCCTAGACCCTAGACCCTAGACCCTAGACCCTAGACCCTAGACCCTAGACCCTAAACCAAACCCTTAAACCCTAAACCCAATACTCCCTAAAGCAAAGGCGGTGCCGCCCAGCGGCGACGCGGCACCGAGGGTGCATGCAACGTGGCGCGCGCTTTGAGCGCCCGGTCGAGGAAGGCAGGTGGCCTCATCAAGAGGTTTTTGGGGTTAGGGTTTAGGGTTTAGGGTTTAGGGTTTAGGGTTTAGGGGTTAGCGTTCAGGGTTTAGGGTAAGTTTAGGGTTTCGGGCTTGGGGCTTCTGGAAGGGGGGGCGAGAAGGGTGCCCCTGATGGAAGCAGAGCTCAAGGCCCCATAAGCCCTCCCAAACTCCGCAAGCCTCTTCTGTGCCCGCCACCTACTCGCCAGGACCCCCCCAAAAACGCCAAAGCCTAAAGCGTACAAACCCCAACCCCACAAAACCGAGACCCTAAAACACTGAAGGACCCTAAGCCCTAAACCCTAAACCCTAAACCCTAAACCCCTCAAAAGCCCTCAACTGAACGCGAACTGGGCGGCAGCGACTGCGCAGGTGACACGCCGCCGTCTGCGGCGGCTGAGAAGTTCACCTGCGCCGCACCTGGGGGGTGGTGGCTAGACCCAGGAGTAAACTAGGAATTAAAGGGGGTTTAGGGTCTAGGGTTTAGGGTTTAGGGTTTGGGGTTTAGGGTTTAGGGTTTAGGGTTTAGGGTTTAGGGTTTAGGGTAGGGTACCTTGGGGCTGCTGGTGGTGGTGGTGGTGGTGGTGGTGGTGGTGGTGGTGGTGGTGGTGGTGGTGGTGGTGCTGGCGGTGGTGGATGTTGTTGTTGTTGCTGTTGCTGTTGCTGCTGAGGCTGTTGTTGTCAACATGATTCAGATTCCTGTTGCCATCTCTTGTCATACCGGTTGCTTTTAGGACGAAGCCTTGGACCCTGAATCCCACACCTGCACCCTCAAGGTCTGGGACTCACGAAGGTGCCCTTCCTTGGCTTCATGTGGTTTAGGGTTTAGGGTTTAGGGTTTAGGGCCTAGGGTTCAAGGTTAGGGCTGCCATCAAGAGGCCAAAGACCCCTCCAAGCCCCAAAAGAACAATGGGAAGGTGCTGCGAGGGTCTGCGCTCAACGGCCCCTACTAAACCCTAAGCCAAAAACCCCCCAAGAAAACCTTAAGCCCGCAGATCGAAGAGCCTGAACCAACCCACGGTGATGGGGAGAGGGGTCAATCTCTTCCTTAACTAAGGGATACTGGGTTGTCCCCCTGAAATGGGCCCTTGAATTCAGATCCTTACAAGATTGGCACCGCCTCTCTTCGCCACGGGGGAGTGCGGTAGCGCCAGTGAGAGATTGCCTCCACCGGCTCTTCAGGGTTCATGGCAGGCGTTCGGGAAATTTGGGGGTTGATCTAAACTCTGGGCTCTTTGCCGAATCTCCATCCGCTGAGGTTTAGGGTTTAGGGTTTAGGGTTTAGGGTTTAGGGTTTAGGGTTTAGGGTTTAGGGTTTAGGGTTTAGGGTTTAGGGTTTAGGGTTTAGGGTTTAGGGTTTAGGGTTTAGGGTTTGAAAGTTTAGAGGCCCTTTGGGAAACACGTACCTCAACGCCCATTTGAGTCCAAGACTCCAAAATCATAAATTATATGGGTGGTTGTCAAAATGATGATCCCTTTCTGGGGTACCCTAGATATTAGGTGCCGCAGTATAACGGGGATCCAAAAAGGGACCATCATTTTGACAACCACCCATATAAGGGTTAAGGCGAAGCACGGCAGAATCCCTCTCAGCCCTTGTAGATAGGGTTTAGGGTTTCGGGTGTGATTTTCAGTGGGGCCCCCTCAACCCATAAGCCCGAAACCCTCCACGGAAATTGAGGTGACTGGGATCCAGGCAAACTCGGACGACCCTCAACGTCCCTCAAAATCTTCGAAACCCTCGACGCGCCAAGCAAGACCTCAAAACCCTTCAAACCCGCTGCTTTGTTCCTACATGCCCAACCAGGGAAACCCACTATGATATAACGTATTCCTCCCACAAGGCGAGCCCGGCCCTAAAGTCAAACCTAAAAGATAAAACTGGCAGAGCAAAGAGGTTATGGCGTGCACTAAAGCAACGCACAACTTTTACTTGAGCCAAAATGGTTGATAAGTTCGGATGCTAATTTTAGCATGCCGTGTGAAACATCCTCTGCGTGTGCACTCCTGGCGTGTTGCTAAGAGAGCGTTGGAATGTCTAGGGCTACAGTATGCCTACTGCCGACTGCCTACTGCCAGAGCGTTGCCGCTACTGGCACTTGCATCTTCAACAGGCCCTGATGCCCCTATAATTCCTTCTCCCCCTTCTCACGTGCAAGCGTCAGGCCTAAACCCTAACGGTTTGAATCTCAAGAGCGTTGCCGCTTCAAGAGAAGACGGTGCCTAATTACACCAGGCTGCTGCCTGCAACAGCTTGGGCGGCATTGCTGCCTTGCCAAGCGCAAGCAAAAGTGCAAAGCATCACTCCATTTGGAGTAGCTGGAGTGCCGCAGGAAACTTTGCTGGAGCCAGAGCCTTCGTAAAGATATCGGCGCGCTGCTTATCTGTGTTTATGTACGTCAAGCGCACATACGGGTCCTCATAGACTTCATACAGGGATGACAGATCAATCCTGTGAGTCTTACTCACGTGCCGAAGTTTTGGGCTGTAGCCTGCATGGACTATCTGTATGACTGCCGAGTTATCCTGATGACACTGCAATAGCACCTCTCGGCCAAAGACCTTTTCCATGAACTGTTGCATGGGTAGTGCTTCCCCGAACACTCCAGAGCTCAGTGAAATGATCTCGGCCTCTGTGGTTGATCTGCTGGTCGCCGTCTGCTTTTTGCTGGCCCAGCACAGTGGCCAGAAGGAGTGTTCCCCTTCTATACAGAGTATCATCCCGGACGTGCTGTGAGCATGTTCTACATCAGAAGCGTGGTCGGCGTCCGTGTACAGGCTAAGTTTGAGGTTTTCTGGCTCATCGCCCATGGTGTGGGTGATAGAGAGCTCAGGCGTTGAATGGAGATAGCACATCAAACGAAAAAGCCGTTTGTCGTCCGCAATGCTCCAGCAAGTGACTCGACGGGTAAGGTCTGACAGAGGTTTCATCACGTCAGGGCGTGATAAGCGTGCGAGCCACAGGCTCTTCATCAACACTCTGCTGGCAGCATCTGACAGCTGCCCCCTTGTTTCCCAGTCGCTTGTAAGCAGAGAACCTTCAGCAACAAAGGGCGTTGCCGCCTCTTTGAGCTTCCGGCCCGACAGTTGCTCATATAAGTCACAAGCATTTCGGCAGTAGTCAGACATGTCGTATGTCATGACTGTGTTGCCTTCGCGCTGGTAGACGTGCTTCCGCCCTAACACCCTGTCTACTTCACTTGGCGGTTCAATATCTAGGTGCTTTTGGAGCTCTTCCCAGAATGCAGCTTGAGTATCTTTGGGCCCACTTAAAACTATGTCGTCAACGTACAGCGTTAGTAGCTGCCTAGTCTTGGGGAACCAGAATGACGATTGGAACAGTTCAGAGTGTTCACCTCCCATCAAACTCATAACCTGCTTGAACCTTTCGTGCCAATGAAATCCAGATTCTGGGTGCCCGTAAAGGGACTTCCAGAGTCTGACGCAGGGGCGCTCTATTCCTCGGAACTCCGGCGGTGTAAGCTCTCGCGGGAGTTCGACCCACGTGGGAACTTTCGTGTTTAAATCTGATTGTGTGTAGGCCTTAACCACATCAGATTGTGACGAACAGTGACCTTTGATGGCTCCGTAAGCAAGGTTGAAGTTAATACCTACTATTCCAGTGGGATTCACTTGTAGTTCTTGCAGGATTGCCAGGTTGTTCGCTTCATCTCTAATGTCGTCGCCTCTGAAAACGATTCGAGCCTTTAGCTTTCGCAACTCTGGCGTTTCAAAGTGCTTTATGCTCAAGATAGTCATGAGGCGGCCAATATTGAGGGGTTCTTTTCTAGCCAACAAATCCCTGCGTGAAACTACTTCCCTGTAGTCCCAAGTGCCGTTGGATATCAAACCCTTGGCCTCTCCGTCTATGCATTCCTGAGCACCTGCGTGTTTGCCCCAATCCTTTCTATCTATCAAGTGGTGGATGCCAGCGTAAATCATCTCTTGGTCCTTCGGGGGAGTCCTAGGGACATGGCAGTGTGGAGAAGACGGCATGACGGGCATTGCTGCCACTTGTGAGGAGAGGTGCGGGTACAAGCTGTGCACAATGGTTGTGGCCATAGACCTGGTGTATTTGGCAGTTTTTGCAGTTTTGCTTCCCTCAATGGTGCTGTGCTGAAAGCCCGGCGGGTGTTGACAGCGCTTGGTGTTCAAGTTGTCGGCAAGTTTCCAGCAGGAGGTAACAATCCTCCAGGGCTTCTTGTGCGGCGTCCCTTCATCATCCATCAGGCCATGAGCGCATCCATGCGTTACCGCAGTGAACAAGCCATGCTCCTGGATGAACTGGGTAAGCTCGGGTAGAGCCCAACCGCTGCAGCCTTGAGGCCACTCGAAACTTACATGCCCCCCTTGAGCTAAGACAACTTCCGCGACGCTTATGAAGTTCTTCAAGATTCTCCTTGAGCGTTGCCGCTTCTTTCGGAGTTTCTCTCGGAAGCCATTTCCCAAGCGTGCGATGTTGAGGTGCTGCAGTTGACTCCATGGGCCGCAAGGTATGCTGCCCCATAAGTCACAACCAGGAAAGAGCTGGACAAGCTTCTTTAAAGACTCCGTTTGCTTTGGACACGACATGTCCGAGCTGCTTTCTGTCAAACGGAAGTGGTTGATTTCGTTCTCCTCATTCACCTGGCCTAACATTGAATCAGGCTCGCAGCAAAACTCAAACAAAGTGGCATCCTCGGCACGTCTGTTGCGTTTGACCTTGGTCTGAGAACTCGCGCTGGTAGGGGCAGAGTCCCCAGTCAAAGTTGAGCCACAGCTTGGGACTGCTTTTGGGTCTAAGGCTTCTAGATCGTGGAGGATTGCTGCTACCGCTTCCGCACCTTTGAGGGGTGAGCGTTTGAGTTGCTCTTCTGCGTTGGCCTTCATCGTGTCAAGCTTGGCTTGGTTTGGGTCAATCTCCTTCTTTGGGAAAAACCATGTGGCCCCTACCCAACTTTTAGAGGAAATGCGTCTATTCGGACTCTTGTCTTGCCAGTCGTCGGAGAAAGTAGACAATTTGCCGCGGCATTTCCACTCTGTCTCTCGGGCAGAAGACAAAAGATGGAAATCAAAAGGACAATGTCGGCCCACAGGTGTGTACAAACGTTTTCGGGGCTTGACATGCACTCGTTTCCACGCCATGCGCTTGGAATCAAAATCCCAGTAGTCCAGATCAGCCCCCTTGACGCCTTGCTTCGTCTCATCTGGGCGAGTCGCCTCATGAGATGGTTGCAGCGGCGCGGCTGGGGCAACACTATCAGAAGCAGGACGCGCGGCGTCGGCCTTTGCTTTGGCCTTAGCCTTCAGTGCAGCGGCCTCGTCTTCTAAAAGCTTCCTAAACCGTTCATGGCACGCATCATTGTGTGGCACGCCTTCTGCTATCCTATCACAGCCCTTGCACCCAAGAGTTATGCCGAAACGAAGGGCCCTTTCCAATGTCACATATGTTTTGCGTTTGCGAACTTTGGGTTCCGGGGCTCCTTTCTCGAAAGGCAAAGCTTCTCGAGTGTCAAGCGTGGGCATTGCTGCCTCTGACTTGAAAAGGGAAAGTTTCTCAACCTGAGCCTCGTGCAATGGAAACACAAAAGAATCAGGCACGACCAACTCTGACGCGTACACTTGGATTGGTCTTCCGCAGCCCCTTTCATCTTTGCGAAGTGAGTCGTAGTCAAGCACCAAGTGAACTCCACGAAACTTGTAGCCTGCATCCAAACGCCATCCGCAAAAGATCCCAGGGAACGTCCTAGGGTCAAAAGCTGGCAAATCGCGGTGTTGAGGAGGCTTGTAGTACACTAAGGCCCCTAAAGGGATTCTATGGCCCTCAAAAGGTTCACCTTTGTTGGCCACCTCATAGCACGTTTTACCCTCCTTGAACTCCTTGGAGGCTTCTGTTTCGTTTGGGTGCACTGGCGCGAGGGTTGTAAACGACCTAGCGACGCAAAAATATTCTATCGATCGCGGCCATAGGTTGTGTCCGAAGCCAGCCTTCAGGTGGACGGCTCTGGTACCCTCTTTTATTGTCCTGATGGCTCGCTCGAGTTGTGAGTTGTGAAAAAGGTCATGGGGTACGCCTGGATCCGGCAGCCAGTTCAATGCCTTCACTGCGTCGACGAGCTCGGAAGCTGCATCCGACTTGACCACGCATAGCGCTTTTCCATGGGCCCTGGTGCCACCAAATTTTCGCAACACTGAGACGTTCTGATCTGTGCTTCTATTGGTTTGTGGAAAAGCCCCGTAGCAACCGCTATAGTCGTCATAAGCAATCAAGCAGGCCTGCTCTCCTTCCGAGCCTTTTGTTAAAATCTTGACCGAGAATGATGTGGTCTGCCCGGAGCCTGTGCCCATAGTGCAAGGGAGGAGTGTCATCAGGGTCGGGCCCTTCGTCCTTCCTACTTCGATGGACTTTAGCAGTCATTTTGGCACGCTTGCAAATGTCACAGTACCGGTTTTTGGGATAATGTGTCAATTGATGCGCTAAGCTCTTTGATGCTGCTATGAGCCTCTCTCGCAGGGAAGGGGTCCATTCAGGGTGCTCTTCGGCATCTTCCTCATCCAACGGTTCATCTCCTTCACCCGGGATTGGCTCAGCACAGGCTGTGAGTTCATCCTCTTCCCCAAAACGCGGCAGGGAGCTATCCGGTTTCAACCTTAAGCATTCCACATCTGCCTTGCCAGACTCTACAGGCTTATCCCGTGTAGGCGCCTTGGGCCCGGAGGCCTCATCAGGCATTCTTGTGGGGAATTCAGGACGTGATTCTTTCGCCGCTACTCTCCTAAGATGGCGCGGGGCTAAATCACTCGATGAACTGGCCGGTTCTGATGGAGCAGCCATGAGCGTTTCCGCTTCTGGCTTGACAGCGCGTCCACAAGCGGGTAGGGCAGAACACGAGACGGATTCTCTCAGGACGGGCACGTTTTCTTCAATGCGATCTGCATAGATCTTTGCTGATTCAGGGCAGAAAAAGGTGACATCCTGGACTCTGTCAGCGTTCACGAAGAAAGGGAGTTGGTCAGGAAACCATATCCACGGGCGCTTGTGTTCATTTACCTGGATGCCTACACTCAGAGCTGGAGGACAATCCTTTAGGGAGTAGAACACATTGTCACCTGAAAGGTCTCCTTTCATCCTCACTGCTTGGGAGCCTGTACGGGTGCCCCCTCCAGTTGAGAACTGCAACTTTTCCGGTGCCTTGGAAAACATCTCATGGGTCTCTTCAGGCAAATGTTTCTTGGAAGTGAGATTCCTACCGGCGCCGCTATCTAAGAGAAAGTCCATGTTTAGGGGCTTAGTCTGGTTCATGGTGCACACGCCTGCCATTCCAGTGGCATTCCCACCTGGGTCAAGGCACGCCATAGCCGTCATGACTGTCGTGAACGCCCTAGCAAAGAAGCTGCCTTTTGGGAGCACACTGCCGTTGAGCTTGACGTTCCGGCCTGACTTGAGCAACTTGTTGCCTAGACCCTTCACCCTGCCAGCTAAACCCTGAACGCGCTTCGGGGACTCCTGCTCTGAAGGGCATGCGTTGCCGCATTGCCTCTCTTCTACGCAAGAACCCTTAGCGGTTGGAAGCGCGCTTGCCATGGAAACACCTGCCGCGACTGTTGCTGCACCTGCAGAAGCCTTGATGCCCCTGGGCTTAGGCCCTTTGTACAGGTTGTTCTTATCGTGGATATACTCACACGCATTTCCATGAGTGCAACAGTCATACGCAAAGAACATGCATGGCAACTTGGCTTTTTCCTCTTTTGTGCGTGGCGACTTTGGCTTGTCCTTTCCTTTGCCTTTGCCTTTTGCAGGAGCGGCGGGAGCAGGCGTTGCCGCCTCGCTCGTTGCCACTGTTGCTGCTGCTCGTGCTTTCTCCTTCGTTTCTTTTTCCTTCTCCTTCTTCTTCGCTTTCTCCCGCTCCTTCTTTTCTTTTGCTTTGTCTTGTTCGCTCTTATCCCCATTGTTTGGTTTCGCTTTTTCTTTCGCCTGGGCTTTTGGCGCCGCATTTGCTGCAACACGATTGTTACCTCCTGCTAGGGCCTTACTAATGGACGCCGTGTTTTCCTCTAACTGGGCAATGTCGACAACATCCACCATCTTACCGTATAACCACTCCCACGTCCTCTTGCTAGAGGAACTGCTCGAGTTGCGGAAACGGTCGATGTGAAGGCTCATCAGGGGGTGCCCTTTGAGGTTTTCAAACAAAAGGGACCGAACAGCATTGTCACTGGGCCTCTCTGATGGCTCCAACGCTTCCCATACAAAGTCAAAACGTTGCCTGAACTCTATCAGACCCTTGACCTCCGAACCCTGCACTGTAAGCGACAACAGGTGATGTTGCGTGAGGGCGGTACCACGATCCTTTTCCAAACGAAACCGCTGGAACACAACCCACAAAAGCAACCTCCCTTTGGGCTGTTTGCCGTGCTTCTGGGCTTTCTCTTGAAGGGACTGAAACTCCATAGAGAACTTGGTGCCCCGAGCATGTTCCAACATACGGTGGCCAAGGATTCGATCAAGTAGAGGATAATGTCCGGAGTCATCAAACGAGGATGCGCATGTTGCATCATTGCATTTGGAAATCCAAGCCAACAAAGGGGTTTCATTACCTTTGGCTAGCTTCGTCACTGCGCTATACAGGTGATTCCTAAACCCCCTAAATTCAGATGCGGACTTCGGGAGCGCCGCAATCTTCAGTGAGTCGTACTGCTTGGTTCTCATAAGCTTTCGTTCCTTCTTGTATGCCCCATCTGAGCCCGAGCTAGACGACGATGAGCTGGAACTTTTGCTGGTTTCCGAGGCGTTGCCGCCTTTCCTCCCTTTACCCGAACCTGATCCACTCGAGTCTGAGCCTGACGAGTCCGAGGGGGGGCCTGGAGGCTTTGCAATCGCTGATCCCGGATCCGAACCCGCAACACTACTTGACCTCAAATACCCCCTTGATGTGGCGCCTGCACCCTTGAGGCTTGCCGGAGGGGCGTTGCCGCCGCCAGCCGGGCTACCTCCAGAGATTGAAGCGACAACGTTGGCAAGGGAGGTGATTTGTGCCGTGATCACGTCCAATTGCCCCTGAATCCCTGGGTCTATTTGGGCCCTGGGAGTGCTGATGGCATAAATGTCGGGCACTGGAGGTAAATTGCCACAACTGGTTTTGGTTTCGGGGCCACCTGTGCCCTCGTTTGGGGGCCTCTTCGGGGGGTCAAAGGTGGTGCTAAAAGCAAAACCACCGGGCGTCCTAGGAACCTCAGGGCTACCAAGGGGCATTGGAGGCTTCACTAAGGGAATTGTGTTGGTTGATGATGTGGCCTCAGTCCCTTGATGTTTCCCTGGGGCCGTTCCCGTACCATTACTAGGGCTCATAGCTTGCGACCTTTCGCTCTCCAATCTGTGAATGATATCCTTCTGAAGCTCAAGAACGCCCATGAGCGACTGCACTTGATCCTGCAACCTCTGAAAATCCCCTTGAGCGAAAGTCAACATGTGTTCGCTTTGCTCCTGGGACTTCCTAGCCTCTGCCGCAACTTGCCTCGCCTTTTCAACCTCCCTTTCAGCTAAAGCCCTTGATTGATCAACCTCCTGCGAAGCCCGCTGCAACACTTCATATGTGTGCCTACGGACCTCTTCTTGAGCAGAGGCTCGGGTAGCTTCAATTTCGCGGGATGCTTGACTGTAGACTTCTTGAGTTTGTCTACGGGCGAGGTTTACTTCAGCAGCAGCCTGGGCTACTATCACGGGATCTGCTGTCACGCTTAGGTTTGCTTGATTGAGCTGGAGGTGTTGGTGAATACTCCGATTGTCTTGCAAGTCCTGTCTCACAAAAGTGTTCTCAACATTCTCATGGCGATGAAGGTGCAGTGTTTGGCTTAAGACTTGAGTGACAGGTTGCATCACGGAATCGCTGGAGGATGATTCGGGTACCGGGGTTGATTCAGGAGGGGATCCCAGAAAACTTGAAAGATGCATCGGACTGGGCGTTGCCGCCTCTGTCCCACGTCCCTCCGTACGCATTGCGGGAACCAACCTATCCTCCGGGGAATTTACAACCCCTGAACCCGATCCGGAGTGCCCTGAACGGGACCTGGCATCAAAGTCCGACATTAGCACTGCCAAAGTCTAGACCTTTCTTCGCGCAAGAACCTGATCAGTGATCCTTTGGCGTCCTCAAGAACTTGCACCTCTTCGATGCCCTCAGAACACCCAGGCTTGTTGCGCAACTTGATGTGCAAAGGAATTCCAGCCCACTGCTCCCAAACCTCCTCGCAGATGCCCTGATCGTCGTCAGCTAAGAGTGTTTGGTTGGGGGCGTCGAACGCCTTCAATACTGCAGCTTTACCGTTCCAGCCGCGTTTGGACGGAGTAATGATGACCGAATCCAGGAGGCCACTGAGCTCTGGCGTCGCGTACAAGGTATCCAAGAGCTCCTGCCTTCTTTCAGGCTTCACCAAGAAACTCAGCAGATGCAACTGAAGCCCTCTAGGCTTGTTAGCCCTCAGGTCCTGGAGCAATGCAATGTTGGCGGACGGAATCCTCCCCAAGTGTTCAGTTGTGCCCTCGCGTGCCCTCGACAATGTCTGATAATTGTCGATGAACAAAAACCGATCCACAGATGAGTCCTTCCGCAACACTGCCTGCGTTTGCCAACGACCGCTGTCCCAAATGAGAATCTCCACGCCATCGGGGAGCCAAATGTTGACTGGCCTCAAGTCCGCAGTTCGCGGCTTTGGCCTTGCCTTTGGGGGCGGTGTTATGCCCCTCCGGGGACTTCGCTCCCGTGCACCAGCAGCTGAGGAAGACGATGCGACAACCCTGATCTCTAGATCGCTAGACCCCTCGTCCTCCGGCTCGTTGATTCCCTCTTCTATTGGAGTGCCTGGCTCCAGCAGATCAGGATTACCGATAGCGCTTTCGATGTCCTTCCCAAGGCGATCTGCCGCGCGCAGAACTTGTTCCAGTGGGACGCCCCCGTCTATAATGGACTGAAGGCCACGACAAATGCGCTTCTTCTTGGTTTTACCTGCAGAGCCACCTTTGTTCACGGATACCCTGTCCCAAAGCTCGCGAGCAAAGTCTGCTTCAGGAGGGTATGGCCACCTGGCCCCTGCAATACCTTCAGCCGTTCTTGAAGGAAGAGTTTGATTGGGAGCTAAGCCGCAGGCGAACCTACGGCTGATAACCAGATAAAACTGGCAGAGCAAAGAGGTTATGGCGTGCACTAAAGCAACGCACAACTTTTACTTGAGCCAAAATGGTTGATAAGTTCGGATGCTAATTTTAGCATGCCGTGTGAAACATCCTCTGCGTGTGCACTCCTGGCGTGTTGCTAAGAGAGCGTTGGAATGTCTAGGGCTACAGTATGCCTACTGCCGACTGCCTACTGCCAGAGCGTTGCCGCTACTGGCACTTGCATCTTCAACAGGCCCTGATGCCCCTATAATTCCTTCTCTAAAAACCCTAAACCCTAAACCCTAAACCCTAAACCCTAAACCCTAAACCCTAAACCCTAAACCCTAAACCCTAAACCCTGAAAGCCCAAGGGCCTTTCCAAGTAGCAGCCCGCGTTGGCTTCCGTGGCATCTTTGCCTGCGCAGAGCCTTGGGGGGCCAATGTCCCAGAGAACTTGACTTGGAGGTTCATGGGTAGTTACATGCGAGTTTCTAGTAGGGTAACTAGAATTCTAACATGGCTAGAACCTTATTTAGCTTGGTAGCCCAGCAACCATATTATAATAAGGGCACCCTTTTTTGGGCTGGCTACTTTTTGTAAGGGAACCTTGAACCCAAAAAAGGGAAAAGGGTACCACAGGGCTACAAAGTTAGGGTGCTCCTAACCCTCCCTAAACCCTAAACCCTAAACCCTAAACCCTAATCTCTAAACCCTAAACCCTAAACCCTAAACCCTAAACCCTAAACCCTAAACCCTAAACCCTACCCCAATGAAGCTCCAAGCACTTCCAGGTTCAGGTCGCAACCTCCGAGGCCCCCCACCCTGAATCCCTCACCTAGGGTTTAGGGTTTAGGGTTTAGGGTTTAGGGTTTAGGGTTTAGGGTTTAGGGTTTTGGGTTTAGGGTTTAGGGTTTAGGGTTTAGGGTTTAGGGAACCCCTGAAGGCCAACAACAGAACTGCGGAAATTCAAAGCCCCCCCCCAAAAAAAAAAGAAGGTACCCTAGAAACCCATATAAAACCGGGTTTAGGGTTTAGGGTTTAGGGTTTAGGGTTTAGGGTTTAGGGTTTAGGGTTTAGGGTTTAGGGTTTAGGGTTTAGGGTTTAGGGTTTAGGGTCCTGCCTGCGAAACTACCCCCAAACTCCTAAAAGCACCTAGGCCCGCAAAGATTCATTGAATCAAGCCCCTCAAAACAAATCCTTCCAAACTCCTTCCCTTAAACAAAACGCATGCGCCCTCATGTAAACCCTAAACTCGAGGAATCTTCCAACATACCCCAAACCCATACCCCTTACCCTACAACAGGAGAATATCAAGAAGGCTTTCCTGACACCCCTTGATGTCTGTTAGGGGGTATGCCCAAGGGATACGTTAGACATTTCATAGAGCAACCCTGAAAACCCTAAACCCCTAAAGCCCTAAACCCCTAAACCCTGACCCCTAAACCCCTAAACCCTAAACCCTAAACCCTAACCCCTAAACCCTAAACCCTAAACCCTAAACCTTAAACCCTAAACCCTAAAGGGCGGGGCGCTGCGCCGAGACGTGGGCGTCTCCTGGAAGCCGAGGTCGCCTGGGGGGCTGAGATCCCCACATGCTTTTCTTTTGGGGTTTCGGGTTTCGGGTTTCGGGTTTCGGGTTTCAGGTTTCGGGCTTAGGGAGAGTTGGGGGGCGTATGGGGGTTTATGGTTTTGGGCCAGGGTGCTGTTCGGGGGGTGAAGTTTTTGGACGCGTTGGGTTTTTTTTGCTTTTTTTGGGGGGCGGGGGGGGGGGGGGGGGGTGATTTAGGGTGGAAGGCAAACTGGAATCGCACCTTTTTTCAAGCCTTTTCCGGTCGTTCATTGTGGGATCTCCTACAGTCTTCTCACCCCCTGCTCCCAAGTGAAGTTGCCTCCCTCCTCCTCCAATCCGGCTGGCTCTATCTCCGCAAAGATCTTAAAATTGGATCTCGATGGTAAGGACGGGCCATGTCGACCTTTCCCTTCATCCAGTACTGGACTATATGCGTCCTCCTCTTCGTCCGTTCCAGTGGGATTTCTCTAGACCTGAAGAAGACGCTGCTCAACCCCTAGTCGTTGCCAGCTCTGCAACCGCCAGCTCCCATTGTCATTCGGCCAACCCTCTTCCTGATACCCCGCCAAGGCATCTTAAGTATTCCCTTAGTATTCCCTTATGGTCCCTTTAAATTTATCAATATACCACAATAACCCCACCCAAAACCCTATGCTAACCATTAGGGCCCCTACAGCACCCAAATCTTGGGGGTGGGTGGCTCATATGCGGATAGGAACAAGCTCCGAGGGTTGGGCCCTGAACATCTGGCAGCTTCCCTACA